TATTTTTTTTAAAATCAAAATTATTTATTTAATTTTATAACAAATTATTTTAGGTTTAATTTAAATCATCTAATTTATTGCACTAAAATTTTATTATTATTATTTTAATTTTCCGAATTGAGAAGAAATTATTATTATTATTATTATTCGTGAATCAATTCAGTCTTTGTTAACTATTAACTTAATTTATTTAATAATTTTTTTTTACATTGTGACGTAAATTGCATCGGTGGCTACACCGCAATTATTATTTTTTTGTGACATGAGTACGTAACCGTCGTTACCCCAATAATTAGACCAAGAATTTTTAACGAGCCAATAATCTTCACCGTTTAATTTACCAAAACCTACAACCAAAACTGCGTGATCTAAATCGTTGGGAGTGTTACCTGAAAAAAATTATTTTTTTTAGCATTAATATAATCGCATAAGAGTAAAACTTAAGGTGGGGGGGGGGGCAGGCAACAACTTACCGCAATTCGGATCGTAATAAACACCGTTTGAATAAAATGAAAATGTTTTGTGCGAAGCATCAATAGCAACTCCTACGGGACCATGTACAGCAACGGCAACTTTAAGTGCATCAACGTCACCGGAAGGAACCGCAACGTATCCCTTGATTTTTACCATATCCATTGATTTATTAACATGACAATAACCGTCCTGTTGGATAAGAAAAAGTACAAAATTACCTCGATGAGTTAAAAAGAAAACCTAAAAGTCATTTTATCGTACCTGTCCTAGGTATGGACCGTATGAATCTTCGGTTGGAATTCCACCATGTTTTAAAATGTAATCAAAAGAATATGAATCTTCACCTCCATCGCATCCTCCATTACCGAATCCCCAGGAACAATCGATTAAAGCTTGTTGAGATACTCGTACCAATTTGTGATTCCTAAAATTTTTTTTTTAAATATAATTTGCGTTGAGTAAAAAATTATTTGGAGATAATAAAAAATTATTCTTACTTTAAGAAATATGCTCCCTCGATGGCACCGGTAGAACCAAAAGACCAGCAAGAACCACAAACCGATTGATCTGTTTACATAAAAATTTAATTAAGATTGTGGATTTAATGGTTATTGAAAAATAATAATAATAAACTTATTCTCTACCTTTGACTGGAGTCACGGCACCGTTTAATCTCCAATCTAATGATTCTGGAAGATCTTTTTTCATTTCGTGAATTCTTTCAACGGGATATGGAAAAGAGTCACCGTGTTTTTCAACTCCTGGAGTGTATCTGTTACCTCTTAATGCACGAATTTCAACATCATCTTTATCGGCTAAATGATTAACTCCTAATTGAAAACTTTTTCCAGCACGATTGTGACTGTTTATAAATCTGGAAAATACATTATACGTTATACATTTTTCTTCATATATTTTTTAATTAAAAAAAAAAGTTAAATCGTACCTTAAATTTTGACGGAAAAGATTTAATCTTTTTGCATGTTCGAGAGGGCTGTTATAAGTTTTTCCATGAGTCATTTTAAAATCTTCAAAAGCTAAACGAACGTGTTTATCATAATTATGTACAAATTCTTTCATTGGATTAAACGTATAAACATGATCGAGTCCATTTCCGTGAAAACTCGTGCAAGAAACGTCTAAAATCAAAAAAAAAAAAAAAAAATTTTTTAAAAACTCATTTTTGCAAATCAATAAAAAAAAAAAAAAATTTATGGGAATTGTAAATTTACTTTTGCTAAGTTCAAAAACTTTAGAATCTGGAGATTCTGGAGAATACCAATCGTAATCTAAATAATAATGGTCATAATGCGATCCTAAAAGTGAATTGAAACCTTTCATTTCATATCTTACAGGTACAGCTGTTGTTTCTCCATTTGATTTCCAAGTTACCTTAAAAAAAAATGACAAATTTATTTAATTATTATAAATTCTTTAAAAAAAAATTTTATTTTATTTTTTAATCGATTTACGTAATCGATTCATGATTCAGATCAAAGTTTATATTTCTAAAAATATAATCAAACCAATAAATGCCTATATCAGTAATTAAATAAATTAATAAATTTTTTTTTTTACAGACGCAGTTAAATGTGATTTTAAATAAATTATTTAATTTTAATTTTATTTTTTTACCTTAGAACTTGTCCACATTGTATATCTGTTAACTTTGTCTCCAAATTTATTCGTTAGTGTCCATTTATGACATGGAATTTCATTGACAGTATCTTCACCAGCATACTATTAAATATTAAATAAATATATTAATTTAGTTAATGTCTTGGTAGTGATCTAATCATGTTTTTCATCATCATTCATTATCGCTTTAAATGTTTGTTTAGTTAAGTCTTAGACTTACCTCAAAGTTGCTTATGTCTGGAAGAACAGTTTGAGGTTCAACAGGAGATTCAGATGAACCGGAAACAACAAAACAAGTGTCAACATTTTGAAATTTTTCTGTCGTTACAGGAGCAACCTTTTTTAATGTTCCATACTGTCCTTCGGATCCTAATTGATATGTTTTAACCATACCTAAAAATATTATTCAAAATTTTTAAGTTTCATCAATAATCATGATATGAATTAACTATAAAATTGATGAAATTTTTTTGAAAAATTACCTCCATAGTAATCTATTCTACCTAATCCTTTTTCCAAGTCATACCAAGCGTAAAAAGGTTCTTTAATTTCTGCATAGGGTATATTTAAAGTACCTTTTACAGAATATGTATCACTGAATTGTTTTGAAGGGCTAAATACATTATTATTTTTACTGCCAAAAACTAAAAAAAAAATAACATTATTTTTTTAAAAATAAATTACGTTTTTTTTTAAACATAAAAATAAAAAATATATCATACCATAAGTTAAAGTTAATAAAAAATAAATATAGGTAAACATAATTAACAAGAGTGAATAAAAAAAAAAAAAAAAAAAAACAAGATTAACCGACAATATTTGAAATGTACATGAAAATGACTAAATGTAACAATAAGAATTTTATTTAATTATCGGCATAAACTTTTAGGCACGATTTAAATACATAAATTGTGGAAAAGCCTAACATAAATAAAATTCACATCGAAATTGCTGACAATTTTTTTTTTTTTGTATTTAAAATTTGGACTCCATTTTACTAGACAGAGAACGCAATAAATTTAAAGGAAAAAAAATTCCAGTGCCTTCTTCACTCTGATTTTTTCCCTCCAGAATTATCTTTATGAAAACCGTTAAAAATTTAATGGCCGATTTTTAAAATTTTAATTTTTCCAAATCATTGGGAAAAAATATTTGAATGAGTAAAAAAAAAAGTATATTTCCAACAAAAAAAGAATGGATTTTTTTTTCAAAAAAGTAAGTGTCGCCATTTAATTCTTTTTTAAGTAAATTTTTCAAAATATTTGCAAATCAAATTGTATAAAATGCAATTAATATGGAAGCATAATAATTTCTAATTATTTTTAATTATATATATTTAAGATATATTTAATAAATATTGATAACTTTTATTCGTCGCGCCTAAAAAATTAATTTTTTTTTTTTTTAAAAGGAAAAATATTTAAATAATACAAGTTTGATAAGAAAAAACTATTTTTTATTTATTAATAAATAAATAACCTTATAATTCTTTTATATTATATGCATATACAACAAATTCATTCACTTATTATTATTATTTTCATTACTTTTTAAAACATTTTTATTAAATCATTTGTAGTTGAAAAAAAAAATTAGGTTATTATACTTAAAATAATTAATAATCAGTAAATTTTTTTGTAACCATTATAAAGGCTACCGACCTCATTGATTTTGAGGATCTAAGCAACAAAATATTTACTTGTGTGAAATAATTAATCAAAAATGTAGCAATCAATATATATTTCTATGTCTCAAAATGTAAGACAAGACAAACCTCAATTATTTATATAAAACTATTATAAAAATTCAGTCATTTATATGTTAAAATGATTGATTGATTGATTGATTGATTGATTGCTTGGAAGAGTTAATGTTTATCTGAAAAGAAAATATTTTCATTATAATTTTCATATGATTGGAGTGTTTAATATATTACAATGATAATATAACTTATAAATAAATAAATTAGAAAAGATGAAAAAAAAGGAAAATTTTTTGCATGTTGAACACATTTGCATGATGACCCTAAATTTTGACCTTCCAGATAAAAAAATTTTTAGAGAGATAAAAGAAAAAAATAATTTTATGGTCAGCAAATAATTATATACATATATTTTATTTCAGCAGATTTATTATTATTATTATTCAATTTTTTTTTTATTTTTTATTTTAAATTTTCAGTATAAAACTTTTTACAGTGAAAAAAAATCACAGGTTTTAACATTTTTTTAAATATTGACTTAATTTACAGGTTGGATGATAATAATAAAATCTTACCTTAAAAAGCAAAAGACATTTTTTTTTTTTTTTTTTTTTTTTTCAATTTTGTATATATATATATAATAATTAAACAAATTTATTTTTCTATTGTTTTTTTTTTGTTTGAACTTTCGCTTTGACAATATCCACATTTTTGACAAAGTTTAATAACAAATTCATAACTGACTAATGTTGTTGCGTTTACAGGAAATGATCTAATTGTTGCAAGAAATGTACCCAAAAATAACGCTTTAAATCCATCCTGATAATATGTTTTCTTTAAACAATCAACCATACCCTGATATACAGGTCTACCAAAATCATCTGATTGTATTCTTGATTTGATAACATCCAATGGAGCAACCGTGACCCAGGATATGATACCTGAAGGTATACATAAACATTCGTTTGAGAGAAAATTTTTTTTTTTTTTTTTTACATATTCTTATCATTATTGCGATAACATTACCAGCGATTCCTCCCGCTATTAATTGACTATTTATGCTCGTATACGAAGAATGATCATCTTTATCTTTAAACCAACATAAAGTATGTTCGTAAGTAAGCATGTATAATCCAAACGTGGGAACATCTCTGAAAATATATTTTAGCGTTAATAACATTTATAAAATTATTTTTTTTTAATTAAACTTATAACTCACCGCCATATCATACTCCATGTTCCTTTATATAATCCTCCATAAAGTCCATAATTTTTATAAATTTTTACTAATGCGTCATACGGTCCCAAATATATCGGTTCTGTTTTACATACATTTTTACAAACGGAATAAGAACGAGTCGGTATGGCGGCTTAAGCAAAAAAAAAATTTAAAAATTATTTATTAATAAATTATTTACTTTTTTTTGTCAGGTTTCATTGTCTCACCAGTTTGCGACTGAAGTTTTATTTTAATTATTTCTAATGGACACGAATATAAAACTGCTGCCGTTCCTCCTAGACAACCTGCTACAAAAACATCACGATGCCACGACGAAGATGGAGGTTCTCCTTCGCAACACATTTTTCTTATAAACATATTATGACCACTGACACCTTGTAATATTCTAAGACAATTTCCGTAAACGCCAAAAAATAAAGCATTGTAAACGCCACTTCCGAAAAGAGGATAAGAAAGACCTTTAAAAAATCCTTGAATCTATAATAATAATTAAACCTTTCATTAAAATTTTATTTACTTATATAAATTTAAATGTGATTATATAAACACATACTCCTTCTAATTTATATGTTGATTTTGCTACAGCAAATATTTTACCACCACCTGGAAAAATTTGCTGTCTCACTTTAATTGTATCTAATGGATGACCAATGATCAAACCCATCATGCCTTTCAAAAGAAAAATTTTACAATGTATTTAAAAAGGATAAGGAGACAAAAAAAAAAAAAAAATTGACATCATCGGGACTCACCACCTATCCATCCTGCAAAAAAGTCACAAAATGACAAAGCATTTGTAAATACATTATTTGACATGAGTATTTATTTTTCTCACATTTGGTAGTCAACAATAAATAAATAAATTTTCAAGAAAAATAATAATAATAATAATAATTCATAATGTGGTATGGACAATTTTTAATAATTAATTAAATTCAAATGATTTTATCACCTTGATGGTTTGCTTATATTTAAATATAATTATTAATCCATTCATTTTTATATTTTTAAATTTTAAATTTTGTTTTTTTTTTTTTTTTTTTTTGTTTTTTTTTTTCCTTTTTAAATAAAGATGAAATATATCTAACGTGGCACTTGTATGCTATTCGTTGCCATTGGAAACTCTTGCATATTTAAAAATGGGAGAACCAATTATTTATTAAATTATATATATATATTATTGTATATTTATTTAAAAATATTTTACAATAAATAATTTTATATATGTACCATGTGTATGAGAATAAGTAGAAGATGGCGTACGCAAGAGGAAGAAGAAGAAGAAAGAAGAAATCCAAGGTGTGGATAATATATAATATAATTTTCTTTTTTTTAATATTAATATTAATGATAATTTATGTTGTTAATTAAATGTTGTAATTTTTGTTTTAGAATGACGAAAGAATCACTTCGTCAACTTTGCAAAGAACATAAATTATACGTTACTCCACACTTAAATGATGTTTTGTACCTTCATTATAAAGGTTATAGTAAAATAGAAAATTTAGAAGAATATACGGGATTGAAATGTTTGTGGTTGGAAAATAATGGAATTGATAAAATTGAAAATTTGAATAATCAAAAAGATTTAAGATGTTTATACCTGCATAATAATTTAATAAAAACAATAGAAAATTTAGAAGATTGTTGTCCTTTGTTAGATTCTTTAAATCTTTGTCACAACAGCGTAACAAAAATTCAAAATCTCAGTAAAATTTTTTTGTTCTTTTTCACGATAATGTTTTTTTTCTTTCTTTTTTAAATATATAATTTATATATTTTCCAAAGGCAAACTACAGAGTCTTCATACGTTACACATAAGTCATAATCGTTTAAAAGATTTTTCCGACATTGAACATTTAAAAGAATGTAAAGAATTAAGTTGTGTGGATCTTCAACATAATTGGATTGATGATCCATCAATTGTTGAGGTAACGAAAACAAAAAAAAAATTCTTTTTCTATTTAAATAAATTATAAAAAAATTAAATTAATAATACATATAAATATTATTTAGATTTTAGCAGCGATGCCAAATTTAAGAGTTTTATATTTGATTGGAAATCCTGTTGTTAAAAAAATACCATATTATAGAAAAAATTTAACCGTTAAATGTAAAAATTTAACTTATTTAGATGATCGGCCTGTTTTTCCTAAAGACAGAGCCGCAGCAGAAGCTTGGTAATTTTTAAAAAAAGGATTTTTTTTTTTAGTAAGAATAAAAAAAAAACTATAAATTATTAAAAAATGTTTGCTTTATTTCAGGGAAGAAGGAGGTTTAGAAGCTGAACAAATATGTAGAAAAAAATGGGCTGATGAAGAACGCGCCAAAATTGATGCCAGCGTTAAAGGTTAAAAAATTAATTTATTTATTTATGTTAATAAAAAAGTAATTTATATAATTAATTTTTAGGTTTACTTGCATTGAGAGACAGAGAAAAGGCTAAAAAAGAACAAGAAGATTTACAATTACAACTTTTAGGTCCCAAATTAGAAGAAGTAATAAATAATTTTTTTTTCTTTTTTTTTTTTTCTGATTTTTAACTTGCTTAAAGATTCTCACTTATTAAAATTATTTTATTTTTAAGGAACCAACATCAGGAACTGATGAATCTGATGGTGAATCTAACATCAGCAGCAGCAGCAGCAAAGAAAATTTTGAAGGTGGAGATTCGGAAAATATAAATTCACACAACGGTATTATTTTCCCATGGAATTTGGATGATAATACAAATAGGAGGTCTCGAAACGAACATGGCGAAGGAGGAAAAAGTTTAATTGTGGAAATTTCTGATTCTCAAAAATTAGAAAAGTTAGATTTTTGTTAAAAAAAAAAAAAAAAACTTGATTAGAATTTGTTCAGAAAAACCAAACCAACAGTAAATAATTTTTTTTTTTTGTTTTCAGAAGATCTATTAATGCAGCTGAAAGAAATCTTTCACCGGATGCAAATGTTAAAAAGAAACTTCATAATGCTTTAATTTCTGAAAAATGTTTAAAAGAAAATAATAATGATGATAAAGGTAAAGATACGTTAATAGAAGTAGAAGAAGAAGAAGAAGAAGAAGAAGAAATTGAAATTATTAACACAAAGAATGAAATAAAGAGGGAAAAAATTGAAGAAATCGAAGAAACGGAAATGACGTATAAAAATATAAATAAAGAAAATTTATTATATAAAAATTTAATTGAAAAAACACAAAATATTTTACCTCATGATAAAATCGAATCGAATTTCGATGAAAAACCGTTGAGTGAAGAAATCGAAGAATTTTTAAAAATTGAAAAAAAAGAAATTGAGGAAAAAAAATTTAATGCGAACGATAATAATGATAAAAATATAATGAGAAATAAATTGATTGAAGAATTTAAATCTCCTTCTGATTCGATAAATAATATGACAAAATTAGTTACAAATAAGACAATTGAAAATAGTAATGAAGAATTTTCAGTGACTTTTACCAAATCGTGGAATAAATCAGGTAAATATTTTATTTTTCTAGAGATTTCGTTAAAAAATACTTTAAAAAAAAATTTTATTTCGTAGAAAAACGTTTGCCTAAAATATTAGAAGTACCGGAAAAGGAAGTTGAACAAGAATATGAATCGGCAGAAGAATCATTTGGTTTTAAAGAAATCGTTAAAGAACAACTTGATGGAATATTAGAAAATGCATTGAATATTGTTTCGAATTTTGATGTTTTCCTCGGCGATAATGAAAATAAAAAAGATTTTTCAAATAATAGTACCGAAGTTATTATGTCTAATTTAGAACAATCATCTGATGATGAATATTTGGATTTCGATGATGACGGTTTCGAAAATTCGAATCTTGCATTATCCGAATTTTCAAAAATGTCAGATGATTACTCACTCCCACGTGAATTTAACGATAATGATACCGAATCGGAAAATAATTTTTCAATTAATTACGAAAAAGGAGCGGAAACGGAAAGAGATAATATTTCAGTAAATGTTTTAAAAAGAAACGTTAAAAGTTCAATTGAGTTACAAATAATTACTGAAAATGACGTGGAAGAAGAAAATAAAAATTTTACTGATGAAATCTAAAAAAAATTTATTTATAATTAATTTTTTTAATAAATATGTATTTATGAAAAATTGAGTTACTTTTTATATTGTAAAATATTTTATTTTATTGGGTTGGCTCTTTATTTTTAGGAGCAAAAAACTGGTCCAATGCAGTTTTGACCTCATTTGAAATTTTTGTCCGTTCAAAAAATTTTTTATGGATCGGAAAAAATGATAATTATTTGGACCTAGTTTGGGTCTATATGGAGGGTGCAGCAAAACATCCCAGCCTAGCTCCAGTAGTTTTTGTCAGGTGGCTAAAGATGGGGAGGGCCTGGCATTATCGCAGTGAAAGACAATTCCTTTGCTATTGGCTAGCTATGGTCGTTTTTCTTGGATGGTATCATTTAAATTTGTCAATTGTCGAATGTAAACCTCTGAATTTACGGTCTGATTTCGTGGCAGCAGCTCAAAGTTGACTATGCCTTTGTAATCCCACCAAAATGATAACAATAACTTTTTTTGCTGAATGTCAGTCGTAGAAGTTGTTGGTGCCTGTTTCCCTTGCCTTGACCAGAATCTTTTCCTCAAAATGTTGTCATAGACAACCCACTCTTCATCTCCGGAGACCATTGCGTTTAAGAAGCATATCGCAAAGACCAAGTCACCTCGTTAACTCACGTTCTCCAAGGTTATACAACAAGATTCTTTTGGTACCCAAGACTCCGCAGACAGTTTTTGACTTACTTATGTAACACACCTACCTTCTTTGCAATGTCCCTTGTCAAACTATGCCGATTTTAATCAATGAGGGCCTTTATTTGCTCATCATCAACCTCCAATGGACTCCCGGATCGCTCCTCATTTTTCAAAGGAAAATCTCCAGAACAGAATTTCGCAGACCAGTTTTGACACTGCCGTTCTATTAAAGCTTCATCACCCTACACAGCCCACAACTTTTTATTGGCTTGTGAAGCATTAACACCCTTTCAAAAATAAAAAAGCAAAATGTGGAGGAAATGCTCGCTTTGGCTCCCCATGTTTGAATGTCTTTTGCTCGCGCACTATTTAAGAGTTCAATGAAATTTTGGTACTATATGTTACAGAAGGAACCAAGTAATAACATATCAAAAATTCATGTCTGTGCAAACTGCATGTAGGAGGAATGTATTTAATTTGTAATGTCCTATTACTCCTCAAGAACTCATTTTAAAATAATATTTTTATTTTCTAAATTAAATTAAAAGTCGACAAAAAACCTTTCAAATTATTTAAAAAATTAGAAAAAATTTTTTTTTTTTAGAATTTAAGTTGGCAATCAATCAATTGTTTTAGTCTCTATGATTCTTTAATTCTCTTTAAACCAAATAATGAAAAGCAATAAATAATTCAAGTGTTTTTGACTTAAAAAGTTTTACAAAATATGACGACAGTACAAGAATCTAATTTATTTTTAAATTTTAATCCTCCGCCTTTGAAATGGAGTACACCGATTGGTACGAAGAACCAAACTACATTGTTAATTTTAAAGATTTACCCATTCACGTTTTATTCATTATTTTTGAAAATCTGGATATGCGATCACTTCTTGTTTTATGTTGCGTATGCAAAAACCTTTATAACATTATTAGCGATGAGTACTTGAGTTTAAAAAGTGCTTCCCTTTTGATAACAAGTCAACACTCGGCGAAAGCTCGAAATAAGTAAGTTTTTATTTGTAAAAAAAAAAAAACAAGGAATTGAAATTGAGTTGAAACCTCTCTCTGAATCACTATTCATTTATTTCAGATCTTTGAGATTATTTTCTGGTGTTGATAAATATAGATTAAATTTTCACTGGAAAAATAAATATTACAATGAAAATATATTTTTGAAGTCAAGAGAAAGGTAATTATCACCTTGTTAATATGGTATCGATAAGTAATATTTCATAAAGTTTTACAAAAAATTTTCAATTTAATTTTGATTATTTAAAATTTTTTTTTGTTTCAGGTACAGACCTTGGCTTACTTTGGACAGCAATAACTTATACATTAGCAGAGGTTCTGAAATACTTTCTTTTAAAAGATTTAAAAAGGGTATTGGTAAGAAACCGAGCATAGTGTTTAAAGGACATTGTGAAGATGTCGTTCGTTTCAGTGTCAAAGATGGGATAATGATCAGCGGTGGAAAGTTAGCATTAACCAAAATTTCATCGAATTCAATTAAGAATTTTTAAAATTTTTATTAATAAAAAGAAAAAAAATTTTTTCTTTTATTTCAGTGATGGTAAAATTTGTTGTTGGAAACCCAAAACTGGAAAACTTTTATTCAGTGTTAAAAATCCCATAGGTTGGAATGAAAATTTATACATTGATTTTTCTCATAGAACATTAGTTTCTGCATTTAGCGTTTTTGGCTTATTAAAATTTTGGTCCATTAAAGAAAAAGAATTTATTTTTGAAAAACAAATTCAAATGAATGATAGGCTTAGAACAGTATCATTAAGCGAAGATGGAACAATTTGCGCAGTCGGTTCTTCAGGCTATAAAGCATGTCCCCTTAATATTTTCGATTTAAATAAGTGAGCATATAAAAATTAATTTGTTTTTAAACATTTTAAAACTGATATGTAACATAGAAATTTTACTTACAGAGAAATGTTCAGTATCAGTATTTTTGAAAAGTTTAAAACTGGAGCTGGAATTTTTGATATAATTTGGGAATCTCCCAATGTTTTATTAACTTGCGGTTATGACACATACATCAGATTATGGGATGTTAGGTAATAAAAAAAATTCTTATTAATATATATATTTTTCTTTCTTTTAATTTGATTATTGTACATTTTAGAATGGGACACTGTGTCAGATCATGGACAGATCCATTTGATAATGCTATTTATAGTTTAGCAACTGATTACAATTGGACAATAATGTCTGGTTCTGGTGTTCACAGCAGAGTCACTCTTTGGGATAAACGACTTTCATCCCATGTTCTTGTAATTATTATTATTATTATTTTCTTTATTTATCATTAATAAATATTTGGGGGGAAATTACATATTTAACATTGACGATGATTGATTTTAATATTTTTAGATATATCACATGACTAATCAAACATGTTTGGGGAGTCCAGTTTATAAATTTGATTTCGATCCAAGATATATGTTTGTAGCCCTCGACTCTTCATTGAATATATTAGATTTTGCCACAAAGTCCTCCACGCCGCATTTTTTATAATAGTGCCATTAATAAGAAAAATTTTTTCGCAAACATTATGTAGATTTTATTTTAAATAAAGTTATTAAAAAAAAAAATATATACATATATTATATAGAACCTATTAAAAAAAAATTTTTTTTTTTTTTTTTTTTTCTAATTTGTTTTTTAAAAATGTTTAAGTTTGATGTTGAGCATTTTTAATTATAAATTTAACTATGAAAGATGTTATAGTATTAAATTATTATTATTATTATTATTATTATTATTTATTAATTAGATTATGTATTTTTGCTTTTTAGAAATATTGTATTAAAAAACATTTAATAAATAATAATTTATTGTTTGACATATAATGAAAAATTTCAAATTTTTTAAAATTATTTCAATCATTATCATCATCATCATCATCATTATTATTATTAATAAATATATAGTGAATGAATGAATAAATACAGAATAAAATAAAAAAGAAAATAAAAGGAAAGTTGAAGAAAAAATACACAGAACAAAAATTAATTTAAATATTCAAAATTATTTATTTATTTATTTATTCGTTTTTGTTAAAAATAAATAATAATAATAATAATAATAATAATCACAAGTCAAAGTTCAAATTTAACAAATTCACAATTACATTTTGTATAATAAAAATACCACAATATATATATAAAATATTTAATTTACATAATAATAATAATAATAATAATAAATTAGAAAACTTTAATTTTTTATAAGGCTTTTTTTTAAATCGGGATGGCATTATCATTGTCACCTGTCAAGCCTTTCCTTTTATTACCTTTGAAATTAATTTTTTTAAAAATAAACTCATTTTTATTTATTTATTATTTGGGATGAAAAATCTGGAATTTTTTAATTTCCAGTAATTATTTTATTATTGTTTAGGAATCCCCCCCACAAAAAAAAAAAAAAAAAAAAAAAACATTTTTCATTTATTTATTCACGTTGTTATTATGTATGAATTTTCCATTGACATTTTCAACCTCTTTTACAAAAAATAGGAATGTGGTGTTGTTGTTGTTGTTGTTGTTGTGGTTGTGGTTGTGGATTAACAAACCGAGATGATTATTTTCTTTTTAAGATTTATTATACAATCTTTCTTTGGTACCACGAATTCAAATAAGGAAAAAACAATTTTATTCTTTCTCTCTCGCTCTCTCTCTCTCTCTCTCCCTCTCTTCAATTTGTTTTTTTGTTCAACTTATTTGACTTATGAATTCTAAAAGGCATCCAACGGCACCGAAATATCCCTAAGAAAAATAAAAATAAAAAAATAAAAACTTTTCCACCCCCCTTCCCCCCCCTTCCCCCCACTTCAACAACACCAAAGGTGTTCCACAAAGGAAGAAATCCCGGACATTACCTCATGTTCTAAAAACAATGCTTTGAGCGTATTATTAGACCAATATTCCATTGCATAAGCTAATAATTTCATTGATATCGGATTAACCCTGAGAAAATTTCCAACAAATACAACCTGCAATAATAATAATAATAATGAGAGGAAACGTCACAGAGTAAAGTAATGAAATCACACGTGCGTGCGTGTACGTGTGCGTGACTTACTCTTTCTATTTTTTCATTGACTGCGCACATTCTTGCAATGGATCCAATATTATTTGTTATTGTAACAAGTGTTGCTCTCGCCAAATCCTCTCTCGTAACGTTTATCCTTTTCTCTTTAGAATTCATGTGCCCAAAACTGAACGCACCAAGGAAACTTCAATATAATCATCAAGAAATATCACGACCTTCAGAATATTTTATTTACAAAAAACTTAGACTCTTGATCTCTTTTTTTTTTTTTGTTCGAGGACGAGGAAGGAATTTACCTCGTTTATGAATATAAAAATAATAGTAATAATAATAATAATAATAAATTTTTAAGGCCGTTTTTTTTTTACTAACTAACTAACTAATATTTTTTAAGTCTAAGTAATGAATTTTTTTTATAAGAAAAATTAGAAAGAGAGAGAGAAAAAAGAAAAAAAATTTTTTTTTTTTCACCTGCTAGCAACTAAATCTCCCGGTAATCCAAATCTTTCGTAATCCCCTCCGTAAATATCACGAACCAATTTATCGACTCTAGTGTGATCTCCTAGCGTAGCAAGGTCTATGGCTTCTTCGAAAGAATTGCAACCGGTTAATAGACAGCACAAACCCAAAAACGTTCCACCACCCAAACTCGTACCGGATACTCTTTTGTAATCCGTTGGACTGTAAACTGTTAACATGCTCACTCCTGATCCTATATTAACTAGCTGGAATTGAACCGAGAAAAAAACATTTTACGTTAAACACAAGACAACAACAGGAAAAATCCTTTTACTCTCTCTCTCTCTCTCTCTTACCAAAAACGGATATGGTTGACTAAAATCAAATAATTTTTTTTCACATTGTTCGGAAATGGCCGGATGAGACCAATAGTAACATTCGCTCGGATTTGTTTGTTCAACAAACAATATTCCTTTTATTAACGAATCCAATTCGTCAAATTTTGCTAACTCCATATTAACTTCCTGTAAGGAAATAAAACAAATTTTAGTTTTCTCTTCGTGTCGTATAATACGAGGGGGGGAGGGATAGGTACATACCTTTCTAAAACTTTCTTCAAACTTGTATGCTCCACCACCGGTCGCACTCACTGTCGTTACCAAATTTGCCATTCCCTTAGATTTGGCCAAAGCCAAAAAATTACCCATTTCGGAAGTCGGAAACCGTATGAAATGCATCGTTCCTCTCCTTCCTCTTATGATCACATTATCCATTTGCAAATGGGTATCCCTGTGACCCGTTTTACCGTAGGCTGAATTTTTCGTCAGGTATCTTCGAATGCTTTTCAAAGATTCCACTTCGGAATCCGCTTCATCGGGGGTTATGTCCTTTGGCTCGAAATAAACGAGTTTTGCAAGGGTTCCTCCGATGTCCATGCCGAACCATGGCATTGCTAAAAAAGTTCAACGAAAAAAAAAAAAAAAACCGTTAAATTTAAATTTAATAAACGAACAAACGAAATGTTTTATTTTCAATAAAAACAATCGGACAAACGATAAATAATTATTAAATTTAAACAACACGTCCATTTTACTTATTTATATAATCTCGATTCCTTTACGCGGAAAATCTGATAACGGAAATTTTTCATTTTTGTCGATTTTAATGTTGGCAACAACGACAACTTTTTATTTCATCCGCCTGATTAGATTGGCAACGGTTATCACTTGCATCATTCGTACGTATTCATTTTATCTATTTTTTCCCTTTTTTTTTTTTTTACTAAAAAGATTTACCTCGTAATAATAATAATTATTTATTTTATTTTTTTTTAAAAAGTAACTTTGTACTCGTTTATAGCAGACGATGGTAATAATTTTAACCGAATTACACGATTTACCCTTTACAAAATAATTATACTTAACACAATAATAGTCGTTTCGTTTCGTTTGGACTTTGTACCCCATTCGAAATTTTTTTATTTACAAAAAAATAAATATGGCGCGCAAATTTTTCCCAATACGACTAAACCAATACGATTAAAAATTTTTTACTTTATAATTTTCCATAAAGACCTATCACAATAATAATAATAATAATAATAATAATATTTTTCATTCTTACTCTGTTTTTTTTCTTTTCTTTTCTTAGCAACAACTTACTACTAAAACTTATGCAATTCATTTTCTCTATTGCGTATTTTTTCAGAAAAAAAGGAAAAAAAACTTAACTTTTTTTTTTTTTTTAAACAGAATCAATAAAATCAATAAAACCAAAAATGTCAAGAACTAGAACAAAAATCTGATAACGGAAAACAGAAAAAAAAGACAAAAAAAAACCCGTGTTATAATTTTCACATAGATTTAGTCTCTTGGGCAGTCAAACCGGTACTGGTTGGAAATAAAAAAATAAAATAAAAAAAAAAAACTTTACTTTGTAGTCAGTCAGTCAGTCAATCAGTCAGTCAGTGAATGAAAAAGAAAAAAAAAACGAATGAAAGAACGAAGTGCAAAAAAAAAAAAAAAAAATGTAAAACTGGTTTTTTTTTTACATCTCTTACTTACGTATCGAAGTGAAAAAAAAAAAAAAAAAAAAAAAAAAAATTTACTTTAAGGTTTTTTTTTTTTCCCCCCCCCCCCCCCCCCCCCCATCTTTTACCAATTCCAAGGTTGGCAACAAGGGCGGTAACACAAA